CAGGTGATGAACTTCAAGCTTCCAGTGACTATATGAGTATGGTTACGGAGAGGCGTACAGACGCCGTCCATTCAAACCCATTAAGTAGCCTAAAAGCCAATGAAATACGACGTAAATTTTCCGGAAGATCCCGCTAAATTTGTGTTAAATCATTCTTCAGTAACTGTCTGTTGGAGCGAAATTCTGCGACATGAACCGAAACATTAACAAGTCCCATTCATATGTAGAGTTCGAAAATTTGATCAATCAGACTAGTGATCTTTTCGCAGTCTCTGAAGAGGATTTCAAACGTTTTAAGTCAACGATTCTAGACTCATTCCATCAGTACGTCAATACAAAGTCTAAGCGCAATAATCTATTGACTAAAAACACATAACAGCTCAACCAAGTGAGATGTGACAAGAAATCGCTGATCACATGACCCGATAAAGGTGCTGGCATAGTCCCAATGGATAGAAAGGACTATACTGATAAAATGTTGGCGATTCTTTCAGACAGTAACAAGTTCGCTGCACCTGACAAAGAGAAAGACAAAACAGAAATAACAGGAATGCAACTCACTGGGATATTGAGAAAGTTTAAAAGTGATCAACTTATTTCTGAAAAGGTCTATGACAGCATTTGACCAACCGGTTCAATACCCAAAACCCGCAAACAGGGACCTCCGTTACACCCCACTCTGGACTTGTTTGGGTATCCATACCATCCAATTGCAGAATGTCTGGCATAACTCCTACTATCCAGACACGTTTGAATTCGTCGACTGTATTGAAGATGTGAAATTGGGTGACAACCGCATGACATCACTCTCCATAAATATCCCGATTACGGAAATGATTTGTTTCTTATTCAAGTACATGGAAGACAATGACTTGAATACTGGCAAACCCCCACCCAAGTTAAACGAACTTCTACTTAGATAGATCTTGAACGTTCAACTCACATTCAATGGTACTATTTATAGACAGCAAGATTTTGTGACTATGGGTTCATCTTTGGGCCTGTTACTTGCAGATATTTTCATGGCAAGTTTGGAAAATGGTCTGGTGAAACCGACTATCGACAACTGCTGTCTGTACAAAAGGTACGTCGATTACACTTTTGTCATCTGTGACAATAAATGTGATCTAAATGATGTCCTTCAACTTTTTAATAGCTGCCACCCAGCCATCAAATTTACTACTGAAGCAGAAACTGGAGAGATAATCTTATTTTTGGACGTCCGATTGACATAGAAGATTGATGAGACTGTGAAGAGATGAATATATCGAAAGCTGACGTTGAACAATCAGCTGACAAACTTTTACAGATGCATATCTATCAGTCGCAAGCGGAACCTGATAATATGTCTTGTGACTAAAATCCACAGAATATGAAGCCCCGAATCAGTAGAAGAAGAGATTAATCTTCTGTGCAAGACAGTACTTGAGAATGGCTATCCACCACGTTTTGTCAATAAATTGAATAACTGCTTCTGCATGCATCTAGATTGTTTTGTGTACATAAATATGCTATTTTGTTAGATTAGAGAGATGTACTTGAAATACAGAGAACACCTTCAACTCTACAGTATTGTTTCTGCTCTCATGATATTGATTATTGTGATCATGCTTATGAGAATTGGGAGGTGGTAGGGTGGGGTGAAATATGTGTGTGTATGTGTATGTGGCCTTAATATATGTGGCAACCAGTTGCCTATTCACTACTAATAGTTTTGCATCGAGTGAACAGTTAACAGGTTTATTGGTATTTGTAATACCAACATCAGTTAGAGAATCATGGAGCACTGCACAGTTGTTTTATCCTAGTTTGGTGTTCTTCATCTTCTTCTGTACATCATCTTACAAAAATGCCGAGATCTGAATACCAGTCTCCAGCTGACAGATGGTCACCACTGGATGAATGTACTGAACCTGAGAAGTAATTCAAGGTCAATTGGGTTCACCCGTATCAAGGTGAAGTGGATACTCACAGAAGGAATTGGGATGAGGGTAGCTCTGTATCTCACAAATTGAAAAAGTCAGAATTCCTGTGTCACTGAATCCCAACCCAAGTAGCTGAGCGATCAATGAGTTTTTGTGAGTGAACACCGCCGGATTGGAGTTCTAAAATAGGATGAGACAGCTGTCCACTTGTTCCTGGTTTTCTACGGCCTGTAAATGATGTTGTTTCGTGACGGAAATCTACCAACTGAAATTTATCTAAATTTTAGTATCGTTTCAGCACTTACGAGCATTGAAAGGTTTCCCATCCCTACTGAAGTCTCACTTAAGTTTTATGAATATGCGTCTTGCATTGCTTGCTTTCTTATCCGGGGGTGGATAGGTTGCTTGCATAAGGTTTCAAGGTGGTATCAAGCTTCAACAGCCGTGGTGGTTAGCAACCTTCATGTTCAACCTTCTTTCTCACCGAGACTTAATACCAGCTGGTGAAGTAGGCAGAGTTGTAGGAGTGTAATGGCTAAGAATGGTGTTTTTATAGTTGTTAAGGCTTCACTGTCCATCTGGACGCTTGTTTGACTGGCTATGTATGTGAAGCCTCTCAGGGCAGACAAATCTTATAGATAGAGTATACAGTTTAGTTAACGTCAAAATGAATTACAACACGGGACTTTCGATTGGTGTAGGTGATATTTAGTTATGACATACTTCCGTCAAAGCAAGGAAAACAAAATTTACTTTGATGAATACAAATCAGTGGAACATGTCGGATTGATAATAATTACACACGCATATTCTTAAGAGGATTTATTGATCGATCAGTTGTCTGTCCGTGGAACTGCTGACTGATGATGATTGTTCCTTTCTTGTATAATGCACTGCATACAGGCTATCGGGAACTGCCACAACTGTCATAAAAGAATGAGAATGACGTATTTTAATGTTAGAATGATGGCAGAGGTGCTGTAAACGAGGAAGGCCCCCACAGACGTAAACTACGATTCTCAGTGCCAACTGTCGTCAGCTTGTCGTATGTATTGTAAACTAGGCAATGAGATGGGCAGGAGAAATCAGCAAAAAGTAATAAAGACACCATTAGCTCAAAGTTCACATAGCAGCTCAAGAAACATTCTAGTCCATCCTAGTTATGAAACCAGCTCAGTTAGCCGAAATGAGTAATATGCATGATTGAGCAATTAACATGATTAAAAATCAAACTGCACTACCTACCAAAGGAAGCGAGGAAAAGACTAATTACACACTTTCTTCAAGAATCCAGGGATTCGGTTGAAAATGTTCCATTGTTTTCACTCCCACAAACAATTGAAATCCCGAAATCATCGTTTGCACATTTAATATGTTAAAAGGTATAGAGATAGCAATGAAACATTTCACCGCGGTGTATCCATAGGGTATCTGATAATTGTGCTCTACAAATATCTGCTTCCCTTTATTTATACATATAAATTCCTTGAAACATGCTAAGAAACCTTTCTGTCACTTTTTTCAGTGGGCTTGTTGGCACGAGTGCATGAAAATTTATAAACACTGTTGAGGATAGATAACACTACTGGACCATTTATCAACTAATTCAGATTAATTGTATCACTTCATGGTTATATAAAATTTAGCCCCTAAATCAGTGAATAATTGTCGGTACAAAAGCTTAATTCCATATCCCCTTTAGGCACATACTTTATTGGGAATTCGCACATCTCACTCTTGATTTACCACTTGTCTTTTGGTTGGTGCTATAAATTTAGGTCTTCGGGTGAATGCTTAGCTAAACTTTGTTTACTTCCTGTGATGAATATATGTCGAGCTTTCCTTCGAACACACTACTCTCTGGAAAGTAGTTGTGATAAGAGTCTATATTTGTCTCTGCGTACTCACTACGTATGAATACTGAGACTACAGCGTAGTGGCTTAAATGTTTGGCGTCTTTTCATTACGTCAGATTCTTTTCACCATTTTATCTACCATAGTATGGGCAGTTATTATAGCTAGTGCTATTCCCTGTAGAGTGTGTCTTTGTGACTGTATGCTTTATTCAAGAAGTAGTGTGTAACAGGTGTTATTACATCATTTTTTTCATCAGAATAGTGAGACGCTCGTAGGATAACACCGAGTTTGGTGTAAAACTCTTAGTCAGTGTTTCTAATCAGAAGCAAACTATGGTGCGTTTTGTAAAACAAACACTATTGTGGTAGTCTATAAACGCGTTGTGCCTGAATGACGTATTGTTTTCGGAGTGTCTTTATTGAGAAGATAAAACCCCCAAGTAACTACAAATCAAGCTTTTCTTGACTTGAATGCTCCCTCTCTGACTGGCCACATACAGGTAGGTAGTTACCTGGGGTTCTAGTGGGAAGTGGTGACTAGTAGGGTACGGTAGGTCGGGCGTTGGGACAAGTACTCGCCGAAGACGTTGGCTAGTGGTCGCGCTATGTCGTGAATTGGCAGAAGTTAGAATTCATGGGCTGGCCGGCCATTGGATCGGGTCCCAGTGACTAAACGGTCTACGAGCTAGCTTGCCTTCTCACCAGAAGGTCCTGGGTTTGAAGCCTCTGTGTTGGGTGCGTACTGTTGGAGAGTTCCAAACTAGGACGGAAGAAGCAGCTGCCCAATACTCCCCGCAGGTTTTCCAATGATTCTCTAACCGATGTCAGCTCATAATGAAATCCTGTAACCAATCAGTGAAGTCCCTGTAAACCAAAACTTGAAAATCGTAATGATCATAAAATTCAATTTGAATTCTTTCCGGATAAATAGTAGTAATTGTAATATATGTCTTGGGTGAGGTCGATGATATCTCTGTTAAAAAATGTTGATTTATTTTTATTCCCGTGACTATGGAGACTTCATACAATAGAATGGCAGTCTTCGTCATTTCAGTTTCATAAATAATTCTGCTTTCTGAAAAATATGGTAATAAATTTATACTAATATGGGTCAACAGGTCACCTCATTGGATATATATATATATATATATATATATATATATATATATATATATATATATATATATAAAGATATATTCAGTGAAATTCAACACTAGGGATGAAATCTGCTCTATTCTCTCCGTTCCGTTACTTAAATTTTCTCCTGTTCGTGTCAGTTACGGCTGATTTGGATGGGAATTGGCATGTTGGTAAGTAAGTTATTGACATAATTTCATTGTTGTGTTCTTTTGATTAGTGAAATGATGATCCGGAGAGGTAGTAGATAGTGTTCCCACTTAATTTTTCTCTCTACTATTAACTTGTGCGTCGGCGGTATAGCGGTTAAGACGCTCGCCGACCATGCTCATGGTCTGGGGTTCGATCCCCGACCGACGCACTCCTTTAACTCGCTAAGCCAGAAATAATCCTGGTAAAGAGGAAAGGTTGGGCATGAGGCTAGCAACCCCATCCTGTAAAATAAACAATTCTACAGAAACTTCGGGCCATTAGCCTGAAGCCCTATATTCCACTGGGGAACGTGAAGGAAAAAACTATTAACTTGCTTATTTCATGTACCACTGCTACTACTATCAATGCATAATATAGAGTTGTACAGTGAGTGTGGTAAAACTTCAATCCTCTGGGAGTTAACACATTAGTGATTATAATACATTACTAGGTTGTGCATATGCATCAGTGTGTGATTTTTGGTGTTACAAAAGATTTTGTGTGATAAGGATAACTAACTGAAAGCACCTGAAGAGGCAAGTACTTAAGAGAAAAGTATGGCATGACAGTGCAGTCAATTTCCACAGGTGAATTTTTCAACTAACCTATATGTTAGATTTTGTTGAGATCAGTCAGCTTCCTGTTATCCAATGAGAACATAAGTGTTTTCGCATAGTCTCCGGAGTGTTGTGAATCTGTATACGAAATAAACTAACTAATAACATGAGAAAAGGTATATACTATTGATTAGTGCGAGTATTTAGTAGCCACACAAACAATAGTGCCTTCTAGTTAGATCGAAAGGATTTAAACGTAGAATAGCAGCCGTTTCTTTCGTTGGGAGCCAACCTTTATTATCGGTGTGTGTATTCAGACTGGTTCAACTCAGAGAGCTGAACTAGTTTGGACCATTTGGACCATTCTGATTAACTAGTTGGGCGAACGAACATGTAATGCATAGCATAGAATCATGTTCCGAACTCGCACATTACACAGTTCAGGGTGCTGGAATTTCATCACAGTTCCTCCCACTGCAAAAGCGAAATTATTCAAAATGCCGAGGTGCAGTTCTGCTTGATGTCATGAATCGTAATCAAGGAAGCAAGCGATATGGTAAGATGGTGTATACTCTATTAATTGGTATAAATATCTTTAAACTAAGAACACAATAGTCAGCGAAGAGACTCTTTTCAACAACGAATTTATTATCCAGCTGTACAATCGTATATATATGGCTTTTTTAAGAAATTATATCCGATGAGGGAATTAGGTCAAAGGTGTGAATACATGGAATAATAATAGTATGAAATGCAATTAAAATATTTGTGATTATAATCACAGTTTAATGTCAAGTGGCAAAATAATTAATGTCATATATAGAATAATACACAAGGTGTATAGATTTTGGAAAGGGTGAATAATTATGGGATTAATAGGCGAATATAAAGTGTTACACAACATGGTGTGAAATTCGATAAGATAAAATTCAATATTGTAAAAATAAAAAATATAAAAATTAATAATTTTGGGTTGAAAATGACAAGTGGGTCAAGTGGGAAAGATTCAGAGTGAGAATAGTAATATTAATGATGATAATAATATTAAAAATAATCGTAGTAATGAGGGAAAAGTACATAGAATAACTAAATAAACACATAAATAAATGCCTATCCGTCTACGGACAAGGCAGAAGTAGGGATAGTACATACTTCTTTTGTACACAAACGTCTGGCTTAAAGTCATGAATTACCAAGGCCTCAGCTGTCTTTAGAAGTCTGTAACGAAGAAAACGCGGGAAGTTAGCATGGATTCTATATATGATCTTGAAATCATGGTCAGGGTTGACAGAGTGACAGAAGTCGATCAGGTGTTCGAGAATAGAGCTACGCACACACTTTAATGCTACAATGGGAATTATTATTCTATAAACGAATCAATTCAAGCAGTCGTGCTTGCCAGATTATTTATTTCATGAAGGTCATCTTCTAATGATGTTCTAAGTATTTTTTCTTTGTGTAACGCGATCAGTAAGTAATCTCTTATCAACTAAAGTAAGTAAATTATTGAATTGAATTTTTGATTTTCCCGTCGATTGATTGGACCGAAGTGTTCGGTCTCAGGTTGACATGTCGGCTTCTTGTGCAGATGCTTCGACGATGTCTGGGGATTTGATTTGTATACAATTGGTGGATGGTGGCTAGCAGTGGAATCCAGGATTGGGACTCGTCAGCTGGATGTACCTGCATTTCTCAGTGAGTGATGATGTTCCCACCGAGGCTCGAACCCAGTGCCCATAGTTTCAAACGCCAAAGCGTTATCCACTAGACCACTTGGGCCACGAGAGGACGAAATGCGCATCCTGGATTCCACTGCTAGCCACCATCCACCAATTGTATATAAAGTAAGTAAAGCCCATGTGAATATGCAATCCCATCTTGATGATTCTTCTTATCTCAGAAATTAGTCCTGATGGGAGTTTTAAATTACAATAGGTAGATTCTATCAAAGTATGTCGAAAATATAAAAGCTTGCGTGTTGGTTAAGATTACAGATGAACAACTCGATTTAGTTAAAGCTTAGTTATCTAGGAAAAATTTTATATTGTGCGAGTCTGTTAAGTCTAATGATACTGCGTGGTTGCTCACACTAATTTGAGTGTAGTGAGACTCGAACCCGGAAACTAATAATTAATTTTTCCTCCACGTTCCCACTGGAACATAGGGCTTCTAGCTAGTGGCTTGAAGTTTCTGTAGCAGTGTTTATTTTTTACAGGATGGGGTTGCTAGTCTCATGCTCAACCTTTCCTCTTTACCAGGATTATTTCTGGCTTAGCAAGGTAAAGGAGTGCGTCGGTGGCCGGGGATCGACCATTAGCATGGTCGGCGAGCGTACTAACCGCTGTGCCACCAACGCACGAACCCGGAGACTATTGATTTTAAATTGAAAAGAACAAGAAGTTCAGCAAAGATGGCGATTTTTCGGCGATTTCATTCTCAAAAGCTGTACAATCGCATTTATATAGATTAGTTTACATGGATACAATTATTATTTGCTTAATTCCACACAGTAACGAAGGTGATAATAATTTTCAACTTGATATGAAAGTTTGAGGGTACTAATATAGATTACAAGGGGCTTAGAGACAAGATTTCATAGGATTAGAAAACAGTTACAACGTATGCAAAATTGATATTTGATAACATTTGATAACTGGAGAAATAATTTTAAAGGTGAATAAGGGGTGATAATTATTTTTAACTTGATATGAATTACAAGAGGCTTAGAGACGCAGGGATAGAAATACAGGTGTGAACAAAATGAGCATGGAAACAAACTGAAATCAAAATGTCTTAACTTGAAATGTAAGTTAGTAGCTGTAAATATAGATTACAAGAGGCATAGAAACAAAATAATACAAGATATTAGAATGTAATTGTAAAATGGTTATTCTAAATGGATTACAAGTGTGATCAGGAGGAGTATAGAAACAAACTTAAAATAACTGATTTTATAATTGAAAAAATAGGATGAATTGAATGAAGCCAAAGAGAGAAAATTACACACTCAGAGAACAAAACAAAAAACTGAAGGATAAGGGAACATACCGAACTAGGTCCACGGTAGCTGTAAAGGTTGGACTAGTTTCTTTTGAACACATAGTTCCGGCTTTTCAATGCTTAGACAAGAGCTTCAGCAGTACAAAGAAGTCGGAAACACACTGTGTTTGGTAGATTTTTGTTTACTTTGTAAATGATTCTAAGTGATGAATCAGGTGAGATTCTGTGACAGGTATTGAGGAGGTGTTCAGTTATTGCGCTTCTAAATGAACCATTACCTCCTCCTTGCAGCCGTGCTGGATGATGTTCTCTAACACGTTTTGATAAGATCCACATAGAACAACCTATGTACCTAGCTTCAGAAGAGCAGGTGAACTGATATATGAACACTTAAGTGATCACGTGCGCAAGTCTGTCCTTTCCTTTGCTCCGAAGTAGTGGGTGGCTAGAGAATAACACTCTTAGAGTTGCTACCGGAAAAGTCTTCTTCAGGGAATCGGAAATTCTCCTTTTAAGGATATCTGTTGCTAGGTTTCCCCTGAATTCCAGATTCAAATAAAGTATTTTCTTTTGCACTGAAGTCTATTCTTCTCTTTTTGGCCTTGGTTTCATATTCTTCTCCACGAAACGCAATGGGTAACCATTTTGAACCAGGATGCTTTCGAGGAATAGGATCTCTTCTTCTAAACAGTCGTTGCTACAAATTCTTCTGGTACGGTTTTTTCTTATTTTTTTCCTTCACAATCCCACTGGAACATAGGGCTTCTAGCTAGTGGCTTGAAGTTTCTGTAGCAGTGTTTATTTTTTACAGGATGGGGTTGCTAGCCTCATGCCCAACCTTCCCGCATCACCAGCATTATTTCTGGCTTAGCAAGGTAAAGGAGTGCGTCGGTGGCCGGGGTTAGAACCCCGGACCACGTGCATGGCCGGCGAGCGTCCTAACCGCTATACCACCGACGCACTTTTCTGGTACAGTGGGCTACAGATATGATGAGAGCTCATTTACGGCTGATAGGTATTCAACTGTAGAAGTTTGTCAGTTGGCCATTCCATGTTGGTTTTCTATGGATAGATCTTTTCAGAGTTCCGTTATCTCTTCTTGTCAATTCGACGTCCAGGAATGGAATCTTTGATTCATTTTCAACTTCCATTGTGAATTTAATTGAAGAATGGCAGTTATTAAACTCCTGTAAGATGCAATTTAAATAGAAATCATCCTGACAAACTATATAAGTGTCATCGACGTATCTTTTGTACAGCAGTAATTTGTCCATTGTTGATTTCAAGATGCCGTTTTCCAGGCTGGCCATGGAGCAGTCTGCCAAACGTCAGATGCTCAATCTGACGAACTATATATACATTTCAGTTCGACTTATGTCGGTCGATAGAGACAATAAATGGAGTGTTAAATGTGATATTAACCTAGTGAAATTTTGCTGTACTGAATTACTACTCAAAGGAAAGTTTATGGGATTTAGTATGCATATATTATTGTATTATTTCCATTCTGTGGACTCTACTTCAAACTGTATCTACAAGTTCACCTGCAGCTGCGGTGACACCTATATACGTAGAACTAACAGAATGTTCCAATGTCGTCGAAAAGAACATGTTCCAAAATGGCTAGTAAATCATATCGAAAATCCTAACGCGATTAATCTGAATAGAAATCCAGCATCATCCATTGCAAAACACTTATTAATGTCTGGTCACAAAATCAATATTAATGACTGTTTCACAATTATTTCACATAACTCTAATTCAAGGTTATTGAAGGTGATGGAAGCACTTTGGATTAGTCACATACAGCCTAAACTATGTGTACAAAAATTGATGAACTTCAATCTTCGCGAGATGATATCATTTCGTAGTTTCTTTACAACCGCTTTACAACTAACATGGTTAACAATGATAAAATAAAGTTCATGAAAATTACTCAGTTAAATAAAAACAAAAGTACATACTAATGACCAATCATATTCAGATAGGTCATGTAGTCCAGGGTAGGCGAAGATTGAAGTCCATCGATTTTTGTACACATAGTTTAGGCTGTATGTGACTAATCCAAAGTGCTTCCATCACCTTCAATAACCTTGAATTAGAGTTATGTGATATAATTGTGAAACAGTCATTAATATTGATTTTGTGACCAGACATTAATAAGTGTTTTGCAATGGATGATGCTGGATTTCTATTCAGATTAATCGCGTTAGGATTTTCGATATGATTTACTAGCCATTTTGGAACATGTTCTTTTCGACGACATTGGAACATTCTGTTAGTTCTACGTATATAGGTGTCACCGCAGCTGCAGGTGAACTTGTAGATACAGTTTGAAGTAGAGTCCACAGAATTTCGTCCTTTAATCGTAGGAACAGGGATTGAAAATGTTCGGCAAGTGAGAAAAAGAGATGCGGCGTAGAATGTACGTTTGATGGCTGACCGAAGTCTTTGAGCTGTCAACTGTATAATCTGGTCGCCCTTGAATGGTAGATTAATAAAGATGGCTTTCTTTGGTACAGAAGCTGTCTTTTCAAGATGTGGTCTATCCTTACCGTGACAATTGATGAAGTTTTCTGGATAACCATTGGCTAGTAAAACTGAATGTATATGTCGAAGCTCATCCGTCAATGTGTCACTCGTGCATATTTTTCGAGACCTTGAGAACAAACATTTCACCAGGGAACGTTTATTCAAATTTATCAAAGGGACTAATTGTTTTAATCATATTTAAAAATAAGAGATGTACTTTTATATATAAACATACAATTCTATTTATTTATTTATTATACATGTTCATACCTGTTGCATGACTCATGATTCGACAAAGTTTAAAAAAACAAGAGGTGTCCCTTTATATATAAACCTTTGTTATGTTAATTTCGATTAGTTTCCCTGAAGAAGTTCGGACCAGATTGCCGAGCGAAACGTTGAAATTAATCATTTCAATCTCGCTGAGATTTTACAAATATAACTTTATAAATGTCTACCTTGGTAATCCTCATTTGATTGGATTACCAAACGTTGTGTTAATCATTCTTATAAATTTTTTGTCACTCTGTTTAATTTAATTCGTTATATATGTATCGACCTGACAAGTAAATGTGTGATCAGATTTTTCGAAATGTACAGCGCAAATACGTCACATTTGTCAGATAATCTCCGTCTTCTAATAACGCTATCAAAATTTATAAAAGGGACTAATTGTTTTAAACAAAAATATATATTTTAAAAAAGTTATTCTTCACCAGAATCGGAGAGGCAAAATGATGCGAGTGGGTGAAAACCTTCGGGAAACCAGTCAGTCAGCCGATGTGTCTTCTCTCGATGAAAGCAAGACTAAGAATGGGGATGTGGAATGTTCATACAATGTACGAAGCACTGCATAACTGTGTCTTTCCTAATTTTCACTTGTCAGGAGTGCTCGCTGACGACTCAAAGTGCAATAAGAATCAGGTTACACAGTAAACATATCTCACTGGACAGTGAGTGACAAAACTAGGATCCATTGATCAATGCATTCCGGGATTCCTTGACTCTTAGTATCACACAACCATCATTGATTCGTAATTGCAAACACACTTGAACTGGTTGACTTCTCAAGTTATAGGGTTAGAAGTACAGCTAACTCGTCTAGTAGTCACTAGTCAGTATTAAAGATCTGTACATTTTTTCTGGCGGGTGGGGAGAGAATCTTTTTGGTTTCTAGGCTGTTCTCATCACTGACTGACGTCATTTCGACGGATCACGCTGAGCAGAAAGGTTGAATAACTCCGAGATAGACTAGATAGAATATAGTTAATTACTGCCTCCTAGAAAACATTTCAAATGAATACACATATTTAGTTTTAGCCAGTAAGGTAAATTTTAGGGGGGTAAGGAGAAAAGATACTTTGTATATAGAAGGCTAATTGAGTTTATACAGCAGAAATGAAATCATCCGTCTGCTTCATAAATGTCTAGGCACTAGAATTAAGCGCCGTAGGCATTCTTCACTCATGAATCGGAGGAATTGAGTTCACATTGTGAAATTTCCGTCCATTTGTTTGGTAGACCCATTTCATTCCCACATCTCCTGCCTTCGATTGGGAAACGACAAGGCGGCTGACATGGATGACATAGTGTTAGGAAGAGATGAAAACTTATAGGGAACCGTAGATCGACCTATAAAGGGCTACATATATTGACGTTCAACAGTAGGGTCCTTGCCTACCACGTAAGAAGTCTAGGTCCAATTTACAGATGACTCACTCTTAAACCTCGTCTATCGTTTACAAATTTTACAAATATAACTTTATAAATGTCTACTTCTCACTCAGCGCTCAATTATTTTGCAACTATTCTGTCAAATCTTGATCACAGTTCATATGAATTACCAAGGTAGGTTGAGAGTAATATTAAACTGTTTCTGAATACAAAGGGGGTGGGGGTGGTTAAGTTTGTGAATGGCTATAGCCTCAGCGTATTTCAATAAGCGCCCTTGACCGTTTTTACAGATGACCTTAGAGGCTGAGTTAACATCAGTCTTATGGTTCATCTCGATTAGATGTTTAGCTATAGACGAAGTTGGTAGTCTGACACCTGCATCTATTGGTTTTCCACAATTCATTTGTTTTTCTAACCATTTCCGGATATGCTGGCTGTCCCACCCTCACATGCAAAGCGTGATTACTCCTCCCTATGCATGTGTGACCACCCACACACGAAAATTGGTAAACAGTGCAGGATGTGACATAATCACTTGTGCACTTTTGAGGTTTTCAGTGGAGCATATTTTTAGCTTTTTCGACAATTACAAGCTGGGCTATATAATAGGTTCTACGGATGATCGAATTCAACCTTTGTCTCAAAATCCTACTGTTTATTTCCCCGTTATATGGTAATTTGATGAAAACCTTTTTCTTAGGGGTGGTATGGATTGTAGGTTTAGAGACTAGTTGACTTCTACACCTTTTTAAAAATTTTAAAGGATATCCGTTTTCAACAAGAGTATTCATCAGTATTTTGTTTTTTTGTCTATTACATCAGTCGTCCAAATACGTTGAATCCTCTTCAACAGACATTTCACCAAGCCTCTCTTATACTGTAATGGACAGAAACTGTGAAAATTAAGGTATTGCCCTGTGCAAGTGGGCTATCTGTTGTAGATTGATCGTCTTATTGAACCATCATCTCTTCGACTCAGAAGTATGTCTAAAAACGCAAGCTGGTTGCGACTTTCTTCCTCGCATGTAAGGCTAATATGATTCTGTGCAGAGTTAAGTCCACCTCTAATAGACGACTCTCATCTTCATGATCGTCGCATATCAATAATATCACTAATAAATGTTTTTCTTGTTCGTTGAAGTTTCTATAGTTGTTTGGGTGAAAATTATTCTCCCGAACAGTAAGTACTTGAGCTGACGTCTTTTCTAACATCAAAATGGCTATATTTCTCTAAATGATGCATAAAATATGTGTGTATTCTATCTCTTATATCTTTGATAAGGAGTATTATTATGTTTTATGAACTGTTTATCCCATTCTGTTTCTGTTTTCCCAACTTTAGGTATCATATACGACGATGGATTCGATCAGTCGAAATACAATCTACCCAGATTATTTGAAGCATTGAAACCAAGCCTTCAACATTATACTGACATTTCAACAGGAAATTTCTCTTTGTCAACATCTCAGAAATTTAAGTTTACAGTGGAGAAGTTTTTTATCAATCAAGGTGAGTAGGTTCGTTTTATTTCCTGGGAACTGATGAGAATGGTAAAGCAGGCAAAGAAAGAAAATGTGATAGCTCACAGTAAGTGTCTTTTTTTTAGGAATGTTGTTGTCAGTTATGTCGACTGAAATTTTTGCATTTCATTGGTGTTGCTATGGAAGCGCATACGTTGTGGTTTACACTTGTGGTATAATTCAACGCCAGCAACTGAAAGTTACAGACATATCTGTATCGTCATAATGAAGAATAATGCTAATTAGTATAGTAGAGTAAGATGAAAGGTTAAACAGCCCATACAGACGAGTCTTCCCATCTTGTCATGCAGATTTCATAGATTTAAACGACAGACGATTGTTCTACTTACTTATCGTTAAGTTCATTGTGGTGTTATTACGTGTATCCGGAATAGGATACAACCACTTAACTTAACCCAACTGATATTTCTATTATGCAGTTCAGACATTTCCATGAACGAACATCCCTAAGAGAGATATTTAGGAACCAGGGAGGGGAGGAGGCTGGACAGCTGTTTTATCCTATTCTAGAATTCTCCAGTAGTTCATGCCACCCGACGAGGAATCGAATCCGGAACCTTCAGATTAACTAGACCATTCAACCACTTCAGACAGAATTCAATGACTCGCGAATTCTAACTTCGTGCATCGGTGGCACAGTGGTTAGGACTCTCGCCGACCATCCACATGGTCCGAGGTTCGAGCCCACGCCGACCCACACCTGATATTTATGGTCGGCCTGCGAAATTCGGGCTACCGATATCCATGCTGAAAATTCCATAATTGTACCAAAAATGCAGTGTGGAATCAGGCTGTAATCAAAAATAAATGAAAAATTAAAATAAAATTGATGTAGCGGTATCCTCAACCAAAGCCTTTAATGAGCGAGCATCCACGTCACCTTAAAATGGTGGCCTCTACTAACTGACCACAACTTCTCAGTATAACCCCATGACATCTGTACACTAGTGGGCATTAGTCAGTTGGAGGTTGATGTTTATATTAGGAGATTTGTGTGGATTTTCACCCATTTTTGTCACAAACCGAAATCAGTTAGAGAGATCATTGAAAACCAACAGAAAGTACTGGACAATTGTTTCGTTCCGTTTGCGGACTCTTCAGCACTGCACACCCACCTGTGATTTCCAATGATCTTTCTAAGTGATTTTGGTTCTTGACGAAATCTAACAGTTGAAATCGAGCTGACTGATTAACTGATTGATTATCATAAGGATAAGCGATCAACTGTTCGATACTGCAGATAAACAACAAAAGAAATCCGATTCATTAATTTTTTCGTTTTCAATAGAAAGTGAGTCTGTGAACAGTTCAGTAAACTGTATATTTGTTACTTCTGTACAAATGTCACTTAATCAAACAATCGTTTCTGTGTCATCGAATTTATTTTTATTTATTTATTTTTGATTACAGCTTGATTCCAAACCGTATTTTTGGGACAAGTGTGGAATTTCCAGCGTGGATATCGGTAGCCCAAAATTCGCAGGCCGACCATAGATATCAGGTGTGCGTAGGCGTGGGCTTGAACCCCGGACCATGTGGATGGTCGGCGAGAGTCCTAACCACTGTGCCACCGACGCGTATGTTTCCGATCACATTCGCCTTATATGCCTATCCTATTTGGTCGACTCCCTTACTGCAGATCATGTCTTAAGTTCTTTTGACGAGAAAAATAGTTGAATTCAAAGTGCAACATAACCAGTAGAAAGTGTGTACAGATAATTTTAGAGGGAGAGAGAGTTCAAATGTTGTTCAATGAAAGAACATGAAAGAAAGAGTGTTGGGTAGCTGTTATAGAGTAAATTTACTTTTGATAAAAGCATACAATGATACATTAATATTTTAACCGATTAAAAATGCCCATTAAAATTGTTTTCAAAAGAATGGATAGATACTGAACAAAGAATACTCTTTTCGATAACTTCATCATCATCAGGCCCTACAGTTATATATCCAACCATAGTGGTGAATGAATGAATGAATGAATGAATTAGTGTTATGAACAACACTAGTGTTGCCGTTTAAATAACATCGAATCAATAATAATAATAATAATGGATTACAGCTCAACAGCATCAACATAACAATAAACTAATAAATAAATAATTTTTCCTTCACGTTCCCAGTGGAACATAGGGCTCCAACCTAGTGGCTTGAAGTTTCTGTAGCAGTGTTTATTTTTTACAGGATGGGGTTGCCAGCCTCATGCCCAACCTTTCCTCTTTACCAGGATTATTTCTGGCTCAGTGAGGTTAAGGAGTGCGCCGGCCGGGGATCGAACCCCGGACCATATGCATGGTCGGCAAACGTCCTAACTGCTATACCAACGACGCACTAACAATAAATTGAATGTCAGAAAAATTCGGAAAGATAATATTACAAATTCATGAATTTATAGTCTCTACTGAAAGCCAACCAGGACAGTAGTAGGGGCTTGCTGGCTGGACTTGCTTCTTTTGAACACACAGCACAGCGGATTGCAATAGCCTCTACTGTTTGGAGCATGCAGTGCTTCGATGATTTTGGCAATTTATTCGGCACCTGGTAGATGATAGAGAAGGATTCTTCAATGCTAGCTGGCTTTGTGGCCGGTTTGCTCCAGATGGTCCAATATCGAACTGTTAATGGTTTTCACTTCACCTGTACTTAGCCATAGTGGGAGATGTTCCCGAGTGAGCATGAAAAATCAAGTTCCTACAGCAACGGTAGATATAACTCGCTCCACCACAAGTGCAGTTGAATTGGTAGATACAATTTGAATTGGCCAGCTATACCAGGTGCTTCACCTTTCAGTCGAGGAATCACCATCGGTCGTGTAGAGAATAATACGTGTAGTTCGTCAGCATTAAAAGTTCTTTGAAATGATTTTCTTAATTTCTTCGTAATTATTTCACATGGTATATCGCCCGTGAATTGCAGTCGTAAATAAAGAGGCTTCTTGTTTGCGGATAGAGAGTAGTCCTTTTCCGTTTTCTTTGTCATGTGTTTCTTGATTAATTTGTCGGGATAGCCATTTTCGATCAAAGTATCATGTACAATGCTCAATTCATCTTCAGTTACTTCTTCTGAGCATATAGCTCTAACTCTGTGGGTGAGGGTCTTCACTAAATTTCTTTTGTACTTAAGAGGAACGAAGTTGTGAAAATGTGTTTATTGTCCTGTCCAAGTACTTTTCCTATGCAAATTTCTCTTTATGCTATAATTTGCTTTTATTGTAAGAAGGACATCCAGGAAGGTAATTCTGTCTAGGGATTCCTCTTCGCACGTGAATTTCATAACCGAATGTACTTCATTGAATTCAGTAATTATTTTACTCCCATCCGAATCATTATCACAAAGAATGAAGGTGTCATCCATATATCGGCAATACAATGGGAACTTTCTGATAAGGTTGTTCAAAGGTCCATTTTCTAGTTTACTTAGAAAGAAATCAGTCAAAATGGGACCCAATGGGGAGCCCATCGCCACCCCATCCACTCGCCTGTAAAGCATGCCGTTAAATTTGAAGTTTACATTCATGGTATATCTTAATATCATTTCTTTTAGGATTTCAGTATGGATATGCCAATGTTTATCGACTGGTTATACACTTGTTCACATATGTAGTTAACTGTTTCTACTAGAGGTACATTTGTGAATAAAGATGTTATATCCACAGATAGTGTTGTGAACCTCAGTCAGACCAGTACATCTGCGTCGTTAGATTATCTCAAGATAAGTATTTAGTATTAAGTTAAAAATGATTAGTATCCATGCGGATGAGTAATATAGACAAAAACTCAGAAATCGCAGTGTATGCATTAAAACACAATCACAGAATAGGTTAAGACAGAAGTACAGTTCTAAAAAGTAATATAGATGGGTGGAAGGAAAGGTTGATTACGGAGTCTTTATTAATTGCGTCTACACAGAGACACGTGCTATAGAAATGACACAACGCGAAGACCAGAGATATGGATTATATATATATATATATATAATAAATTATTTAAATTAATCCCAGCGTGTTTAAGAAAATCAAAACAAGATATGTTTTCTGAACGTTTTGCTGTGTAAGCCACAGCTTCTTCAGTAGATTTATTTAGAATTCTTATTAATCATTAAAATATATAGTCAAAAAATTTTACATAAATTGAAGTCAGTTTATTTGAAGGTCTCTCGTCCAAAGATATTAGTACCAATAGAAATATGTAAGCAATCATCATATATTTGTAATGGCTAATATCAAATTGTTATTGTGTATATTTTTGTATGAGTGTGTGTGCATGTATGTTATTTGTCATATGGAAAAGACGTCAGTTCACATGTGATAAACATTTTTTTCCTTCACGTTCCCAGTGGAACATAGGGCTCCAACCTAGTGGCTTGAAGTTTCTGTAGCAGTGTTTATTTTTTACAGGATGGGGTTGCCAGCCTCATGCCCAACCTTTCCTCTTTACCAGGATTATTTCTGGCTCAGTGAGGTTAAGGAGTGCGCCGGCCGGGGATCGAACCCCGGACCATATGCATGGTCGGCAAACGTCCTAACTGCTATACCAACGACGCACTAACAATAAATTGAATGTCAGAAAAATTCGGAAAGATAATATTACAAATTCATGAATTTATAGTCTCTACTGAAAGCCAACCAGGACAGTAGTAGGGGCTTGCTGGCTGGACTTGCTTCTTTTGAACACACAGCACAGCGGATTGCAATAGCCTCTACTGTTTGGAGCATGCAGTGCTTCGATGATTTTGGCAATTTATTCGGCACCTGGTAGATGATAGAGAAGGATTCTTCAATGCTAGCTGGCTTTGTGGCCGGTTTGCTCCAGATGGTCCAATATCGAACTGTTAATGGTTTTCACTTCACCTGTACTTAGCCATAGTGGGAGATGTTCCCGAGTGAGCATGAAAAATCAAGTTCCTACAGCAACGGTAGATATAACTCGCTCCACCACAAGTGCAGTTGAATTGGTAGATACAATTTGA